CCACTACACTATCAAAATGTATCTATCATAAGGTAACAAAAATATCATACTAATGTTGGTGGCAGTGGTAGTTATGTGCTGTGGAGTTGGGTGTGACTCATAGCAGCCCTGCATAGTGTTTCCGAAGCTATAAATCTTGACAGGAGCAGAAAGTCTCATCTTTCTCCCGTAGAACAGCTGGTAGCTTCAAACTGCTGAACTTGAGGTTAGCAGCCCGACTCATAACCACTACGCTACCACGGCTCCTTATACTAACGCTTGTTGTTGTTATGTGCCGTGGAGTCGGGTCCAACTCATAGCGACCTTGTACGGGAGCGGAGCAGAAAGCCTCATCTTTCTCCCACGGAACAGCTGGTAGTTTCAAACTGCTGACCTTGCGGTTCGCAGCCCAATTGGTAACCAGTACGCTACCAGAGCTCCTTTGCTAGATGTTGCTAATGAAAGAAATTGTGTATTTATGTAAACTGTTTGACCTGCTCAATTTTTCTACAAATCTAAAGCTGTTCTAAAGAACATAGTCTACGAACTAAAAACAAAACAAAAAAACCTTGGCAATAATTGGAAATAATTCTATCAACCATTTATCATTCATTACTCTAGTCTAGAGACTTAAGCCCTCGAATGGGATATCCTATTGCATAATTCAATTCTGCATTTACCAAAGCCCTAGCATGTATGTTTCTGACACTTAACTGCTGGCTAATACTGAGTCGATTCTGACTCACAAAACCATAAACAGGGTTTCTGAGACTATAAATCTTTAGGGAAGCAAACAGTCATCTTTATCTCACAGAGTGGCTGGTGGGTTTGATGTACCAACTTTGTAGTCAGAAGTCCAGTGCTTATCCCACAGTACCACCAGGGCTCCTTTGGCTATAAAAAAAATTAACAAAATATGGTTCAAGGCCTCACTGGAGATAAAAAGACATTTTTAAGGCAATTAATATTCTACAATGTAAGCAGAACTGTAGAAAACAGTAAGAGGGATCTGGGAAGACTTCACAGAGAAGTGTAACAAAGGAAAAACAAGAAACATTTTAGCAGAGTCGGCTTTTTTATAAATGTGTGCCTCTAAGAACTTTCCTGTTCTGGGGGACTTTGTTTTTCCTGAAAATGAATGCAGGAGTGATCATAGCTGTTGGCAAGTAAAAATACAGCAGCAGCCAATAATTTATTTACCACTTATTTATTCTTTATAATAATGCTATAACTGTGCATTGCTATAAAAAATATACTTGAGAAAATGCCAAATGTTCTAAAATGATTGCAAATATAAAGGAATTTTGTATGTTTCAAAGTAGGTGGATTAAATAAACATGTAAATATACCAAAATGAAGTTGGCATTGAAAGATGATACCTAGAGTCGGCACTCAAGAAATGATGACTAAATGAATAAAATCATGGGAAATGACTATTTTATAATTCACCCATTTGTTTCAAAGATCCTGAGAAACTACTTCTTAATTTATATGGCTGTAAACTCAGGGTGGTGGCTCCATACGATATGCACTGAACTGCGAACCACAAGGTACTCAGTTCAAGCCTGCCAGCCACTCGGAGGGAAAGATACGGCTTTCTGCTTCCGCAAAGATCTGAAGACTCAGAAACCCTATATAGGGTCCCTGAGTGGGAACTTACTCCACCACACTTATCAATAACAAACTCATAAGGAAGTTGATAGGAGAAAAGCACTTAGCACTAAGTATCTCCTCTGACGGGGGCATATCAGAGAGAGGGTCACTGTATATATTACCAAATTTAATCTTCAAAATAACCCTTCAGATGAGAACCTCTTTAAATCTTTTCTAGAGAAAGCCCATACTCAAGATTTCCATAACTTGCAAGGGAGCAGCATTGGAACCTCTGTCCATCTGAGATGAAAGCCCAGAGTCTTAGCACAGCTCCACTAGTAGTTGTAACAAGGTAAAACTAACTCTGTTCCTTTCCACACAAAGCAGTCTGGTGAGTATTTCTAATCGTTCCTTTACTATGATTATGTTCATTTAATAGTTCAGGGCAAGATCAAAGTACATTTCTAAATTGCAGTATCTAATTGACAATTGATTTACTAGTTAGCCCAGTGCTGGGCAAACAACACTCAAAGAGTAATTCCACGTGTCAATTAACATCCTTACTTTTAGTGTGATTCGATTCTCAAAGTCACTCGTTTACTCCTGCTCAGGTAACACAAGCTAGTTGTATGAGCTCTCTTCTTCCCATTGTGCTGTGACCTTAGGTTTACAAGGTAACAGGCTTGTGAGGTTGACTATCCCAAGAGGTCCCAGAGCACTATAAATGGGGCTGACAATTTACTGGGCTTCTTCTGATTCTATGTCACCTTGGGCACGCACATACTACTTCTTCGAGTGTAATTTGGAAGAGAAACACTGTAATGGCTTTGCCGACGTGACAAGACAGTTAAAGAATCGAAACTGTGAAATAGGAACTTTGCCCGCCCAAGAGCACTCGTTAAAATTTCTAGGTTCTCGGGCCAGCATTCGTCTGATAGCAAAAAAGGCGCGGGCCTGGGACTTGCAGGAGACGAGCTGCCGCCTCCTGGTGCATCTCGGGAAGGGCTCCCGCCTCGGTCAGCCCGCGAACGCACGCCCGCCAGCCCCAGCTGCCCAGTCTCCCAGCCCCTTTCCACCGCCGCACCCAGAGCCAAGGCGGCGGAATGAACAGCAACCGGCCTTCGTCACAGCTGAGTTGCATCGGGTTCACGGAAGCCTTCGCCGGGTTCCTCCAAACCCGGAGTCTTTGTTCCCGTATATATCCTCAGTCCTATTTCTCCCGCCGTAAAACCGGTTTGCGGAATATCCTCGACAGGCCCTATATGAAACATCCAGCCCCGACTTGAGGGCACTGGGACGAGCATTCATAGAGGAAGCTTGGGGCCCCTTAAGTTTAACTTTGGGGGGAAGAAAAAGACTTGGCGTTGGGCCCGCCACCCCCATTCTCGCTGTAGGCGGGAGGCTCCCTCCCGCGCAGCAGCTTGCGCGGGCTCCGCAGAGCGCGCTGGCCGCGGCGGGGCGGGGCGCGGCGGGGTGCGGCGGGGTGCGGCGGACGGCCCGGGGCCTACACGTGGTGGCGACCGCTCTCTCCCGGCCCTAGAGGGCCGCAGCGCCTGTGGGAAATGGGGATTACCAGCCCAGGTCAGCTCCAGAGACGGGTCTGACCCCTAGGGTGCCACGATTTGTGGTGAGGGAGAGAGGAAGCGATCACACGATCGGACCACAGCATTCCCAGAGCTTCTAGGCCCCGGCTGGGCAGCGCGATGGGGGATGACCCAGCCAGCGGGGAGGGTGTTGCAGCGGAGCAGACAACGGGAGTATCACATACCTTGATCGGCGGGCTTCAACCCAGTGCAAGATGCCTTTCCCGAGATTGGTCACGCTGAGAGACCCCAACCAGCCTCTGGTGGTCCCGGGGACTGGAGACGGGAGTCGCACGTGGCGCGCTAGAGCTATGTTTACATTCTGCAGCCGCTCCACGTTGTGCTGCCGACCTCTCCTCCCATTGGCCGGACTGTCAAGCCAGGCTGCGCTCCTCCCGAAGGGGGGCGGGCCCTCCTGGTCTCCGAGACTCTCAAGTAGAAGCGGTTTCCCTTGAAGCCTGGGCGCACCACTGGATGGCCACATTTGGTAGGCTTTATGCTGCCCGAGTTGCCTCCACCTGGTCTGAGACTGAGTCGGGGCCAAGCCACGGGCCGACACAATTGGGAACGAGGAGCTAAGGGTGAATGGAGTTAAGGAGTACTGGCGGGAGATGCGGACAGCCGGTACAAGTGAGCAGGGGCTTCTGAGAGACTTTACACCGTCAAGACGAGCCGGTAGGCGAAGTGGAGCGCGGGTGGAGGGGCTCCTGGATGAGAGCGTAGGCTAGGAGCCCTGCGTTTCCTCTAGTCTGCTTTGGCGCGGACTCTTGCGCAGGGCGCGGCGCGGCGCAGCGCGCGGGACTGCTAGCGGGCGCGGGGGAGGGGAGCGCGCAGTCCGGAGGTGTCACTCTGAGGCGCATGCGTGCGGGGCGGGCCCGGCCCGGCCTATATATTGGGTTGGCGCCGGCGCCAGCTGAGAGCCGAGCGGTAGCGGGTCTGTAGGTGAGAGGGGACTGGGTGGGAGGCTGGGGTCGGGTAGGGATTGAGAAAAGGAAAAGTCCCGCTGAACCAATACATCCCTTAGGCGGGAATCTGAAGGAGAAAAACTGGAGTGCTGTAAACTAGGGGACTGGGTCCGCGCGTTCCGTCCCCGTCAGGACTCTGGGCAGGGGAAGCGGGGTGGCGGGCGTGAAGGACTGCCCTCCGTAGGAGGCCACAGAAAAGCCTTTCATTCTCGGGAGATTCTCAATCGCACCCTCACTTGGGGAACTATCTCGCGGGAGAGCGGATAGGGTCTGGGTCCGCTTCACGGGGACAGAAGTTCCCCGACCATCCCAGTTTCCCCCTCTTTGACCCCTTGCTCTTCTCCCTTCCCCTCTGGAGTTGGGGTCCCGGTATCCACTTCCAGGCGGTAAGCTGGGGTTGGAAAGGAGGGAAAAGAGACTGGAGGACGTGACACCAGCCTCAGTTGCCTCCGCCCCCTGCTTCCCCGCCACCGCCGCTCTCCAAATTGGCGCGGAACCGGCTCCTCACCGCGCTTCGCCGCCACTGCCCCCTCTCCGGGGGGAGGGGAGAGCTGCCCAAGCCCCGGCTCTGGGTATAAGGGGGTGAGGGTGGAGGACCCAGAAAACACCCATTTAGGGAAGCTCTGCCTCCCTGTGCACTCCAGGTTCAGGGGGTGCTTTGTGAATTTTTTAAGACATTCGTGTTCTGGAAATACAGACATGTGCCCGAAATTAATTACCATAAAATTAACATGGTCCAAAATTCAGCCTTGTAAAATGGCTCAAGCCATCTCCTAGGGACTTGGCTGGAACCCTTGAATCAGAATCTATTGGCAATGGAATATGAACGACAGTGTTTTCCTCCCATCTTTCCAGGTTTCACACACCTGAGAGGAAGAGAATGTCAAGACGCAGGTAAATTTTTTTTTTTTTGATTTGGAGACGTGTTTCAACGTTAGCTGCTGTATTTAAAACGCGTTACTTACTAATTAAACTTCCTTTTTAAAATTTCACCACAGTAGCCGTTTGCAAGCTAAACAGCAGTCCCAACCCAGTCAGCCAGATTCCCCTCCAGAAACCCAGGTAATCCAGGCCAAGAAGAGAAAAACAAGCCAGGTGAGTTGAGGGGAGGGAGACATTGATTGACTGATTCATTAATTCCTTACTGGCGCTTAGCTTACCGGTCTTTTTTATTTTCCAGGATGTCAAAAAAAGAAAAGAGGAGGTCACTAAGAAACATCAGTATGAGATTAGGGTAATGTCAAACTGCTGGCTTTGAGGAAAACAAATACTAGATAAGACAAAGAATGCAATTATGTGTTATTGCTTTGCAATAGAAAGATTCCTCTGATCCTTTGACTTTTAATGCTCCTAGAGGTCAACAGGAAGGTGCTTATCTTTGGGCAGTTTGTAGGCGCTGGAATCTTACAGCTGCAAAATAAATTTGCCTTAAAGCAGCTGGTTTGATTCTTTGTAGGTCCCTCCCTCTTGGAGCTCTGTCCCATGTACTGCTCTTTGTTCCCTCTGCCTCGTACGCATAAAGGAGATCACTGACAGTCTGGCGCTATCCCTTTGCCTTCCAATGTATTGTACAGAACGCACCTCAGGGACAGCACTTCCTATTGAAACCAGCATTGATAAGAGTAATGGGTCCTTTATGTAACTAATTCCAAGTGTATGATCTTGAAAGTGATTAGTATTTTAAACTGCAGAGGAAGTTGTGTTGCTATTCCTTTTCTCCTCCAATGCCTAATTTCTTATTAGAATTGTATTTGTTGTCTAAAACAAATGTGTTACTCTTTATGTACTGATATGAGCTGTATCTTATTTAAATGCCAACTTAAATTGGCTAGATTGTCAGCTCTGTTAGCAAACAATGGTGTTGGTGGGGGAGGGGACAGGACTACAGATAGTTTAGAAATATTAGCTTTCATTTATGAAAGATCCAGGACAAAAGCTGGTTTCCTGTTGCACAAAGTTTTTTTGTTTGTTTTTTAATGACAGAATTGTTGGCCACCTGTATTATCTGGGGGGATCAGTCCTTGCATTCTCATTGAAACACCTCACAAAGAAATAGTAACAAGTGACTTCTCCAGATTTACAAATTACAGATTTAAAAATCTTTTTATTAATCCTTCACCTTTGCCTGATTTAAGGTAAGAAAAACTTAACGCTATTTTATATTAAAGCCTAAACCTTTCACATATTTAATATATGGCACTGTTTTGAGTAATTTTTTGCTACCTTTATAAAATACACAAACATACTTAAAAATAGCTTTCTTTACTAATATTTAAGCATTTTACTTGTGAATGCAGTACTGCCATTGGCAAATGGTACAGGTATGTGGAACATTGATTTATAAAATTATTGTAATTTATCTAAAATGAGAGCATTCTTACATACATTTTCACTAGATATAGCAAGTCTTTATCATCTTAGTAAGATCTATATTCAGGCAGTGTTTTTGGCCCATGAGTATGGATAAGAGGTATGTGGTGGTAGGTGGTGTGCCACACAGTCGGTTCAGACTCATTAGCAATTCTGTATAGGGTTTCTAAGGCTGTAAATCTTTCCTGGAGCAGAAAACCTCATCTTTCTTCCTTGGAGCAACTCTTAGATTGAAACTACTGACCTTGCGGTTAGCAGTCCAACTTGTAATCTAGTACGCTACCAGGGATCCTTATGGCTAAGAGGTATAACAAAATACGTAGTGTAGCAACTTATTTTTGGTTTTAAAAATCAGAGTAATGGAATAAGATACCTTAATTCACCCCAATCCTGGTACTTCATTTCCTTACCGCTATTATAGGTGACCCTACAATAAGTAGCCTTGGTGGTAAAGTGGGTTACACATTGGTCTGCTAACCACAAGCTCAGCAGTTCAAACCACCAGCCACTTGAAGGGAGAGTTTTCTGTTCCTGTAAAGATTTACACTCAGAAACCCTTCATAGGGACACTATAAGTTGGAATTGACTCAATGGCAGTGGGTTATGGATTTTTTTTTTTTTTTTTTGTCATAGTGGGTTATGAATTGAGCGGTTAACTTCAAGGTTAGCAATTAGAATCTACCAGCTGCTACACAGGAGAAAGGTGGGCTTTCTGTTCCCATAAAGACAGGCAGCCTTGGAAACCCTATATAGGGCACTATGGAACAGACTCAATGGCAGGCAGCCACCACTGACTTTCTCGTTGCAGATGACTGAGACTTGTATCTACTATAGTGTTGCTCTATAGCAAACTTAGTCAATTTAAACAGAAACCTTATAAATTTTTGATAAGTGGGAATTACAAAGCATTCTTGAAATTATCTTCAAGTGCTAAAGAAATGACTTCTAAAACTTAATTTCATAATTAACCTTAAGTGCTTTCCCTTCCTAGTTCAAATGTATAACATGATTTCAATGTCTGAAAGTTGGGTTTATTTTATGTAAAAGATCATTTGTATATTTTATGTTGTTACGTGACATCAAGTCAGTTCTGACTCATAGCGACCCTATATCTAGGATTTCTGAGGAGTGACTGGTTCGAACTGCCAACCTTGCAGTCCAGTGCATTAACCTACAGCATCATACAATGTATATCTTTCCCATCCCCTTCTTATAGCTGGGGATGTTCAAATGAAGTTTGGCAAAATATGTTGAAAAAAGAGACCAGATATGTTCATGACAAACATTTTGAAGTTCTGCATTCTGACTTGGAACCACAAATGAGGTCAATACTCCTAGACTGGCTTTTGGAGGTATGTTCCAGTAATAAAAATTACTATTGTCTCTGTATAATGAGAAAATACTTAGATGTACAATTAACTTCCTTGGTGTCTTCAGTTAAGGTATACTATCTATTGCTTGCAACCATCTTTTTTGGGAGGAGTCCTGGTGTGACCCTGTAAAATAAGCATTGTAATGATAACTTCAAAGTTAGTGTTTTAAACCCACCAGCCGTGGAGGGTCAGAGAAAAAGAGGAAGATCCCCAATGAGATGGATTGGCCATGTGGCAGTATCCATGGACTCAAGCGTGGCAACAGTAGTGAGATGGGCCCAGGATCGGGCAATGTTTCATTCTGCTGTGTATAAGGTCGCCGAGCCAGCACCAGCTTGATGGCACCTAACAACAACAACATAAGTCAGAACTGATGTGACAGCACTTAAAAATACTATAGTTGATGGTACCAAAGCAAAAAATTGACTATCTGTAAGATGAAAATCATAAAGACCCAGCCACTACATCCCATACAACCCAAACCCAACTCAGAATTCCTGGTATCAGTGGATATTGCTATATACAGTGAGCTCTAGGTATTGAGAATATTCAAAATATGCAGAATGTTCAGTTGACAGGGTTTTGATTTCTATGCAAAGTGAAGAGCCAGGACTAGGTTTCATGGCTCTTGGAAGGCCTTTCTGCATCATTAAAATCAAAATATGGTTTGTAATCCTGATTTCTGTGTTCTAAGCCATTGTTGTTAAGTGCCATCAAGTCGATTCCAACCCACAGCGACCCTGTATAGGGTTTCCTAGGAGCAGCTGGTGAGCTTGAACTGCTGACCTTGCAGTTCAAACGGCTCTGCAGTCTGGCGCATTAACCCAGAGCACCACACCAGGACTCCTGGTTCTGAGCCATAGATGATTTGAATATCCAGAAGCCCTAGGCTCTACGTAGCGTCACTTTACTATATGCCTCTTTCTTTTCAGAAATGCACTTTACTATATTTAAAAGAATAAGTGCTGTTTCTGACTCATAGCAACCTGGTACGGGGTTTCCAAGGAGCAGCTGATGGATTTGAACTGATTATGATCCTAAACTCCTTATAGATCTGTACCAGAATTCTCTCTTGTTTAGGCTCATTCCTTTTTCTCTGGATTATAATTTTAACAGTCTCTAAAAACTATTGATGAAATTATTTGTATTAGTGGCAAACTGGTTTTTCTTTAACTTAGGTATTAGCTCTGTAGCCTTCAAAATTGATAGATGTGATACAGTCTATAGAAGAAAACGAGGCCTTTCAACAGAGTTGATCTCAGAAACTCTACGAAAGTCCACAAACTACAAAATGTCCTTTGAGTCTGGTCATTTATTCCTTACTCTGACCAAAAGGGAAGCTTGTATTTCAATCATGTGAGTGCAAGAAAATTATTGTTTTTGGGTGCTGTTGATCGACTCCGACTCATAGCGACCCTGTATAGGGTTTCTGACTGACCTTGTGGTTTGAAGTCCAGTAGTTGAGCCTATGGCACCACATTAGGAGTCCAAGAAAATAGTTGGGTTTTTATGAGTCCTGGGGTGGCACTGTAGGCACAAGCGATGAATTGTTAACTTGCAAGGTCGGCAGTTCAAACCCACCAGTTGCTCCTAGGAAACCTATACAGGGTCACTATGAGTTGGAATCAACTCAACGGCACTTAACAAGGATAATAGAAACAACTTCAACATTGTTATACTGGGTTTTTTTTTCCTTTTTAAGCTAAGTTAGTTTTTACCCAGTTGCTGTCCATCAAATTTATTCCTGTTCTTCCTTAAATATATGACTATGCAAGACCACAAAAATAAAATACATACCAGTGTTAAACCTAAATTTATGATATATTCTTTTAGTCTAAGAATGCAAGGATGGTTTAACATTTGAAATTAGAAATCTAATAATTTACCTCCATGGTAGTTTTCATAAGATCTGAATGGATGCTCAGGGCATTTTTTGAAATTCATATTCACTTTTTTTTTTTTAACTTTTTATTTTGAATTGAGTCATAGTGTACATGAGAAAACATTGGTTTTACGCTCATATTTTGTTTCATTGCAATGATTACAATCCCCTCCACGCGAGGGGGAGATGGATGTACACAAAAACGTTCAGGAATATATAATAATTTAAACAACCAAAGGGCACCTTCTGCAAGCCTGCCTCTTGGCCACTAGCATATACTCATTCGCTCTTGATTTCAAAATATATCCTAAGAAATCTCTAGCCTTCTGTTTATTCATCTGTAAAGTGAGAACAATAATGGTACATTTATTGTATTCTTTATTTCAAGAAAATTGTTGTTTTCAGGTGCTGTTGGTCAATTCTGACTCATAGAAAAAAATAATACAATAAAGATTTGGTCAATCACCAACTTAATATTCTTCTATAGTTACTAGCCAATGCAGTGTGAAGTGAAAATATTAAAAGGAACAAAGTTGGGACTTTAGAGGTTAATGTCTACCTAGAATGAAGAGACTCAGCTGAAACTATAGAATTAAAAAGAATTTAAGTGAAGCATGAAAAAGTACCCACGTATCAGCAATAATCAAGTTGTTAAGTGCCGTGGAGTCAGTTCTGACTCATAGCAGACCTTGTATAGGGTTTCTGAGTAGCAGCTGATAAGTTTGCAGTTCAAACTGACCCTGAGGATCAAACCAACATTGCGGTTGAGCATTTCTTCTATAGTACGTCAAAGTTTGTGGGGAAAATTGAATTTTTCCACAAATTTTCTGAATCCCCCTCGTATAGCCTCTTGGTGGGGCAATGTGTTCAGCTTCTCACTGAAAGTTTGGTGGTTTATGTTGCTCGGGCTTGCCCTGGACAAAAGTCATGGTGATCTACTTCTGAAAAATCAGGCATTGAACACCCCATGGAGCACAGGTCTATCTACCACACCTGGGGTCACCATGAGTTGGAAGACTTGAAAGCAACTGGTTTATTAGCACATACTAATATTTTCTCCTTCTTAGCTTTGGAATCTATTTTTTTTTTAAAAAATGATTAGGTAAGGACTATTCTAAAGTGGAGTCCTTGTGTGGCCCTGTGGGTTACTGCAGCAGACTGCAAAGCCGTTTGAACTGCTCTGTCGGTGGTTCAAGCTCACCAGCTGCTCCTCGGAAATCCTATACAGGGTCTCTATAGGTGGGGTTCAACTCAACGACACTTAACAATAACAACATTCTAAAGTGTATGCTAAGCGATGACATTCTAATTTTGTGGACTTTTTAAAATAATATTTAAATGCTTGGATTCTTCTCTAGGTATGTGAAGTATACACACTTCATAGGGAAACCTTTTATCTTGCACAAGACTTTTTTGATAGATTTATGTTGACACAAAAGGATGTAAATAAAAATATGCTTCAACTCATTGGAATTACCTCTTTATTCATTGCTTCCAAACTTGAGGTAAGTTCTCAAAGGTTGTCCATAGATACATTTATTCCAAACTTTTCAATGTTTTTAAAAATTAACATGTTAATCCCAGAGTCTACTATTATTTTTTAATATTTATTCCTTTGGTGAAAACTGAGTAGGTTTTTTTTCCTTACTGTAGTTTTTCAACGTTATTGTGAGAATAGAATAGATCATAATTTCTAGTCTATTAGATAATCTGAACCTTTTGATTCTGGAATTGTATCTGTTCTATGGTTCATTCTGCCAAACATATCCTTACATACATAATTAGACACATGGAGCCAATAGAATTCTTGTGTAAAACTAAATGAGCAGTCAAAGGAAACTAAAGCTATGTTGGGTTACAATAGTGGTCTCTGCAGCCAAATATTTCTCTATCTGGTGGTGGTGCCATGATAGAAGGCAATAGAAGGCAACTCTTTTCCTGAGACTTTCTTTCACACAATCTCAAACAAATCCAAAAAAAAAAAAAAAAAAAGTTTTCTTCACTAGTACATTACAGATATCTAAAATGTTTGCCCCTTGTATTGTTCTACGGATAGGAAAGGAATTATGGTCACACATCATTTTTCTTAACTGTATTTTTCTTTAGAATGTCTCTTTTTTGAGATTTAAAAGCTATCTCCATATTCTACCAAGTTTGATGAATACATTTATATTTGGTGTATCCTTACCTTGGAGTCCTGATGTGGTGCTGCAGGTTAATACATTGGACTGCAAGGTTGGTTTGAATCGCAAAGTCAGTTGTTCAAGCTCACCAGCCGCTCTCAGAAACCCTATACAAGGTCACTATGAGTCAGAACTGACTTGACAGCACTTAACAACAATCCTTACCTTAAGTCATACTTTGTTTCACATACCTTGCTAGACTGAAATCCTAACTATTTAGCCGGTTCTCAAGCATCTCTTTGTTCTTTCAGTTGTACTTCATTGGACTTCTTAACAATACAAAATATTTTTTGAATAACCATACCAGAGTGAAGAAATGTTTTTGGTTTCTAGAGGGCCTGTTTGGGGCCACACCAACAAATTAGGCAGTCTTAAAATTCTTTTGGCTCTTGTATTTTTATAAAGTGAAATGATCAGTTGTGACTCTCTAGTCATTAGCTATGAAAATAAGCCATTATACTTAATACAGTGGCTAATGTAGATATCTTTGAAAAATATTTTTAAATATGAAGTGGTTTTAGCTATTGTAGAATTATTTTGGATAGTCTATTAAGATTTATAATCATTTTGTGAAAGGAGTCTATTTTTAAAATGCATCTATGTGGTTACTCTGATTATTTCAATCACAACCTCAATTGTGCTAAGTAAAAAATTTCATTTTAAAGGAAATCTATGCTCCTAAGCTCCATGAATTTGCGTATGTCACTGATGGTGCTTGCAGTGAGGAGGAAATCTTGAAGATGGAACTTTTTATATTAAAGGTAATAACTTCATCTTTAGTATTTGCAGTTGCAACTTAGTAACACTAGTTATTACTGAATTTCAAACACTACAATGTGTAAAGCACTGGACTGCAAGGTCAGTTTGAACCACAAGATTGGCGGTTCAAATTCACCAGCCACTCCTTGGAAACCCTATACAGGGTCACTGAATCAGAATCAACTCAGAAGCACTTAACAATGTATAAAATCTAAACAGATTCTAGGATCCAGTTCTAAGAAGTTAATGCATTGACATACTAAGTTGTTATGTTTAGGAGGGGAATTTGTGAGTGACTTTTATCCTCTAAACCGTAGTTTTTTTAAATTACCTTTAAAGTTTTTCTCATACTGAGGATATATATTTTTCTAATTTAAAAGTGATTAAAAACAACCACTTTCAGTCCATGTAGATACTTAGTGTAGCATGTACATATAAAGGAGCTCAGTGGTACTGTGAGTAGGCATTGGGTTGCTAACTGCAAGCCCATAATGATTTTCAAATCTTAGTTCTTATTTTCTCGTCAGCAGATAGAATTAGATTTCTTGCCTTTATTTTTTCTTTATGCAGAGAAAGGGCTATTAATATAATAGTGGTGGCAAGAAATGAAAGTGTTTAATCTGGTCTTCAATTAGAGATTACCAAAATAAATGTTAGTTACTTAAAGGTATACAATTAAATTTGGACATCATAGGTAATATAAAGAAAACAATTGATAAATTACTTCGTATACAAATACCTCTAAACATTGATTGATAGGTCCGTTAGAATGAGATCCTGTTAGCATTTGATACAATTTTAATTTTTAAAATGCTACCCAGATACAGTTTATCCAGACTGAGATTTGAAGTATAGCTGACTACAAAAAGAAAACGTATAGAGAATATGGAATTTTACTGATGGTCCTGCAAGCATTCAGACTTGCATCACAACTGTCTGACTCCTTCCTAATTGTTTCAGGCATCTTGTAATTATTGAAGTCCCAGGGTTTGCTGGAGGGAAAAATATTTTTGTTGGGGCTTGGTTTCTTTTATTTTGTTTTTTAACTTTTCTTGTTTGACCAGAATCTATTAGATGTTACTGAAAGAAGGAAAAAGATTGATCAGTTCTTAAAAGATGCAAATGGAATTAGTTCTGAAAAAGTTGCTGAGTACAGTTAAAAGGACAATTTTAATAACGTAACAAACAGAGTTGAGAGACCAGGGATTGCAAGAAACTGGAAAAGCACAAATGGAACAGTTCAGTGGGGAATAATAAAGCAATCTTTATCAATAACATGGAGCCCTGTTAAAGTCTGTAGGATAAACATTGGACAAGGTGGTCGGTGGTTTAAACTCACCAGTTGCTCCTCAGAAACCCTATACAGGGTCGCTATGAGTCAGAACCAACTCAACAGCACTTAACAACACAACAAAAACAAGTTTTATAAAACACAAGCAGCGTTGGATTATGTCTGAGTAAACAAAGTTCTATAGAATGTGGTAAGTGTACCTGCATTGATTAACAAGCATTTTAAAATTTCATTAACAGGCTTTAAAATGGGAACTCTGTCCTGTAACAATCATCTCGTGGCTAAATCTCTTTCTCCAAGTTGATGCCCTTAAAGATGCTCCAAAAGTTCTTCTACCTCAGTATTCTCAGGAAAAGTTCATCCAAATTGCTCAGGTACTGACATTTTTATTGTATATATGCTGATGCTATAGTTAATGATAGGATTTGTGATATATATATGCAATATAACAAAATAACAGCATACTGGATTAAATTCACTCATTAAATGACTAGAACAAACCTTGGTACTTAAAACTCTGTTCCCAGTATTGATGCTGCTTAATAGTTCTAGAAAACAAAGTCTTTAAATCTCTATGAGTACTTTTCATTCTTTAGTAGTTAGCTAAACCAGGGACTTTAAATACTTATTTTTCATATAAGGGAGGTATTTTCCAGCAGACTTTATAATGGTACAAAATTTTTCTGTATAATTATCTCACTCTTTGTATTTGAGTACATAGGCTAGCCCTATTTAAGGTACATATCAAAATTTAAATCACTCAGTTATATAAGGTTTTTTTTTTTAACTTCATAATAAACTTTTGTAGGTGAGAATTACAGCCTTGGTGTGTGGTACTGTAGGATAAGCCACAAGGCTTGCCGTTCAGACCCACCAGTTGCTCTCAGAAACCCTATACAGGGTTGCTAGGAATCAGAACAGACTGGATGGTATACAACAAGGTCAAAATAGAACAAACGATAAAAAGTGACTAGAGGGAAATGCCTTGTTTCCTTGAAGGCTGTCAAAAAAATATAAAGTGAAGAAAATCTATATTCTATATTGTTGTTGTTATATGCCAGGGAGTCGGTTCCGACTCACAGCAACCCTACACAGTGTTTCCGAGGCTGTAAATCTTTATGGGAGCAGACCGCCTCATCTTTCTCCCACGGAACTGCTGGTAGTTTCGAACTGCTGACCTTGAGGCTCGCAGCCTGATACGTAACCACTATGCTACCAGAGCTCCTATATTCTATATAGGCTGTGAAAATCTTGGAAAAAACTTTCTAATGAAGACTTACTAAAATCTTCGGACATAATTCCAGATTGTCATAGGCAGTTATACCCTTTTGATAGAGAAGAAAAAACTTTTGATAAAGGTGATAAATAATGTGAAAACTGTTTCTAGAAATATATTTTTTCACTTGTAATTCTTCTACTCCTGTTTCTATCTTGTGGACCAATGAAGAAAGTAAGTTTTATTCCACAGGAGTGAAGGTATCACCACAGATTTCTAAAAATAAAGGCCTTTTACTCCATCCCTTGCTACTTGTTCAACCTTCTTATTGCTTGGATGATAATCCCTCTTAAACATGTTCCCTTCTAGTCTGTTTCACTGTTAGTCTGAAGGATCATTCTTTAAAATCCTCCAGTAGACTCAATAATTTACCCTATGAAGTCCTGGTGTGGCACTGTGGGTTAATGTGCTAGGCTGCAAAGTCAGTTTGAACTGTAAAGTCACCAGTTCAAGCTTACCAGCTGCTCCTTGGAAACCATATACAGGGTCGCTGTGGTTCAGAACCAACTCAACAGCACTTAACAACAACAAAGTTCTGATTTCTATTTTTGAATGCCCTTGCTGCTGATCTAATTTAGGCCACGTGCCTCTCCTGCTTTTTCAATTTTAAATAGTGAAGAAAATACGTTATTTATTTGTATACTTCCATTTACTTCTTTTTTTTTTTTTTTTTAACACACCTTAGTTGTATACTACTTCATTTCAAAGGAATGAAGTGCTGTCTCACTTAGCTTTGCAAATACTGTTCATATATACAAAACATTCTCTATCTCAATCCTCTGGCTACTTTGTCTTTTAAGACTCAGTTAAGCCATCAGGAGCCTTCACTGTCTTCCCCAACTGGGATTAGAAACCCTTCCAACCAGTACACATCATAATACTCTTTTACTTGTCTCTTCACTCCCTGAAACACAATCCCAAGATTTGAGTTCCTTTGGGTTGTTGTTGGATCCCTAGAGCTTCAGAAATTCCTGTCATAAAGTCAGTATGTTGTCAAGTTGATTCCAATTCACAGAACCCTACATGTGGGTTTCCAGAGGCTGTAAGTCTTCGCAGGAGCAGAAAGCCTCATCTTTCTCTCAAGGAGCAGCTGGTGGGCTCAAATTGCCAACCTTGTAGTACACAGTCCAGTGCTTGTCCAAGGTCAACATAAGCATTCTAAAATATTAGTTTACTGATGTTTAGTAGGAGCATGTAGTACTCATTCTTCATTTCCTAAAATGCTTGTTATTTTGCTTTTTCCTCTGTTAGCTTTTAGATCTGTGTATTCTAGCCATCGATTCATTAGAGTTCCAATACAGAATACTCGCTGCTGCTGCCCTGTGCCATTTTACTTCTAATGAAGTGGTTAAGAAAGCCTCAGGTAAAACTGCTTATTGTCTCACCAGTTCACAAGTTCTAATGGGACTACTTTATAAACTTTAGCATACTGATAAATAACAAGAAGCTTCAAAAAGTTCATGGAAAAATGGAATTATAAGACAATGAAACTTTCCCATGAAATTTTTGAAGCTGCCGTGTATGAATTTAAAACTTTAGCTGAAACTCTTTAGATTAGAAGCACTTTTCTTCTTTTTATAGCCACAAACAGAAAAATTAAGGTCATATAGTACTTAAGGATATTAGAAGTAAGTTGCCATGATTCACTCTGCTTTACTCTCAGGTTCTTTTGGATTAACAACTTCACATGTAGAAAATATTGGTAAAGAAACTCTGAAGCCCCTTTTCCCTTCAAAATAGTCATTATGAACATAGTTTGAGAGAGACAGTTTGTTTGGGTTTCTTTTAAAATGAGTTTTAAAATAACTTAAAATTTAGAAATAGTACATTATTAGTCTTAAGTTAGTTTCTGATGTAACCTTGACATTTTCTTAAACTTTTCTCAGGTTTGGAATGGGACAGCATTTCTGAATGTGTTGACTGGATGGTACCTTTTGTCAATGTGATAAAAGGTAATAATCCAGTGAAGCTAAAGGCCTTGAAAAAGATCCCTGTGGAAGACAGACACAACATCCAGACACATTCAAATTATCTGATTATGCTGGTATGTTTGGGGTTTTTTTGTTTTGCTTTGCAAGGGAATGGGATGTATTAATATTTGGTGAATCACAGAAACTGATATTAAGGCTGCTATGGAATAATACTTCAGGCAGTTATATGAGACGGCAAAAAGTTCCATGACATACTGATTTCAGTAACTTAGAAATCAAAGAAATAATGTGTGAATTGTCTCAAAACCAGTATCAATTGTCTAGGTAAGAATGAAAATATATGTTTCAAGTCGAACCAGGTATCGTGTATTTACTTGAGTGTCCAGACCTAATATAATGGCCTCTTATATCCACGTAACTATTTAACTGTTTAGGCTGTCAAGTCAATTCCAACTCATAGAGACCCTATAGAGGGTTTCCAAGGAATGGCTAATGGGTTTGAATGTCTGGCCTTGTGGTTAGCAGTCCAGTGCTCAATGGCACTTAACAATAACAATATATATAGTTATAGGCAGTTGAAACTGTTAAGCTTTATAGACATAAAAGGCCATTAATATTAGGTCTGGATACTCTGAAGTAAATACCCAGAAATCTGATTCAGCTTTGTTTTTCTTTATCAATGATTTACCTTAGCTGTTCATCTCTGCATTATTTCTTCACATGTACAGGATGAAGTAAATTACATAAACACCTTCAGAAAAGGGGGACAGTTGTCACCAATAAGCAATGGAGGCATCATGACACCACCAAAGAGCACCGAGAAACCAACAGGAAAACACTAAAGAAGTTAAAACTAAGCAGACATGTTGAAATTGACCAAGTATATGGTAGAATTTCAAACAAATGAACTAATGTTTTAACCCAAACTACTGCTGTAATTAGTCCTAGCCAATTCACAAGTTACATTGGTAACTTTGGGTCAAAGGTCACTTGAAATTGGCACTAAGGAAGAAATTTATTTAATTCCTGTTTTAGCCATGGAATAAACAGCAGTACTTATTTTATGAAGATGACATCGTTCCCAAAGGTGACTAAATAGAAGCCAGCTGCAGTTCATGCCATAGCAACATTTTCCTTGGATCCAGTATTAGTATGTTTATCATAATAAACTAGGAACTTTATTATTGGAGTTCTGGATTAGATAAAATACTACCTTAAAAGGGTACATTAAGAGATACAGTACTTTGACTCTACCTTTTAGATTTTCAGAGTTCTTGCACTCTTGACTAGTGCAAATTTGGTTCTTAAACTATAATTTAAACTTGTTTACAAAGGCTTAGTTATGTAATAAGATAACTAATTTGTCTACAGCTGCTGCTGTTAGCAAGCTGTTATAAAACTTGAATTTTTACAAATGGTAAACGTTAATCTATTTTTAAATTAGTTCATCTGCCTTGCAGTAATGTATTCTTTAACAGTAAGAAGACTTAGATGAACATGGTATTTAAAATGCGCTCTGAACAGTGGGAGTACCAAAGAAATAAACAAGATAAATGCTGTGGTTCCTACATGGGGTTTGGTTTGACAGGTTGCTTTAGTTTTTTCTATGCCACAATTTGGGTGAAAAACTTACTTAACCTTTTAAAACTATTTATATGAAAAAGTCACTTTATCACCCTAAGATGTGCCTAGGGATTTAAAAAAAAAAAAAATTAGTGTGACTACGGCTTTATTTATGTTTCCCAAATTGTTAAGGCCCTTTTAAAAAATTGGCATTGAGCTACGAACAGTGTCAAAGTGATAAAAGTTTTACACTTGACCTAAATGTCTATTTTCTTAAGGCATAAGAGTATTAAATGTATACTGACTCCTGGAAATCTATTTATTACTTTAAGAAAAAACTTGACTTAAGAACTTGCTGTATATATAGACTAGCAACTTCTACCATAAATAAGTTAGAGTTTTGGTGTTTTTTATTATTATTATTATTATTAATTTCAGCCTCAAAAATAGAATTATTTTAAAAAACAAAACCATGGTACTAGATTGCTAGTTTATCCTGTTACCTAACACATGAATTTTTTCTTCTTCTTTTGAAGAAATTATGAGTTTAAGCTATTATGGTATGAAGTCCCCTGTACAATTTTTTTAAAAAACTTAACGTTTGCTTCAGTATTTTGTCTTTAAAAGAAAACACCACTAAATGTGTACATATGTATTATATAAACTTAATCTTTTAATACTGTTTATTTTTAGGTCACTGGTTAAAAAATAAAAGTTGGAAAATTCTGACTGCTCAAAAGTAAAGCTTTGCCATTGCTTGGAGAAACTTTTTTTTTCTTCTCTGTGCTGCTAGCTGTAACACTTCTTCTGGATTGCTTGCATTCAATTCTGTTTGGCCGATAGCTTTGATCTTTCAAAACAGAAAAATGATGTTACTAGCAGTCTGGTAAAAATGAAGTATTGTTCATATACATGATATGAAATTACCCATATTCTTACAGTGAAGTTAGTCTAATGATTAATTGAACCTAAAACCCAATAGTTGTGGGGGGAATTAGCATAAACACTGACTAGAACCACTCTTCATGATGTAAGCACCTAAGTTCATACATGTCTAACTAAGACTAGTAAGAAAAATCTACATAGTAATTTGATACATGATACAGTTTTTACAGTTAAACTGAAATCAAGTATTTCAAGACATCACAATTGTTTCAGGGCTACACTTTTTAATGTACAAAAATATGTAGTTATTACAGTGCTCAGATTTCATGACTAGAAATAACTAGTACCATTCTGCTATGGAGTATTTGGTGAGAGCATATTTTAAGAACTCTGAATCTAACCTAAGATTAAAGTTAGATTGAAGAGGGGGTGGAATTAGAACATTTCTTTGAACAAAGGCTATTCTGACATACGGCTTGAACAGAGAAAAAGACTATTCAGAAGTGATCCACAGACATGGGAGGTCAGGAAGTAGGAAAGATGAAAATTAATATACAATAATGCCTACAGTAAAGGCTGGTAATGTGGTGTAACCAAAGTTTCTTTAAAACATACATGATATTCCAAAGGCTATAAAATTCCAAAGTATAAGACAAATTAGAATAGTCAGGTATTTGAGATGCTATGTGGTTACTAGTCAAAAATATGAGTGGACAAAAGAGGAAACAAATCCTTACAACAAGAATCATTCCCACCCCCTCCACACACAGAGTAGACAGGGATGGGTAACTTGGACATTGGCTACTCAAAATGGGGGGCAGGGAGCTACAAAGGCAAGAAGTGACTGGCTTACAAACTTTCAAGAGGGAACCTAGATCCAGAGGGCCTGGAGGAAGGTAGAATCTCCAGTGAGTAGTATTCAATATGTCTGGGCGGGGCTGATGCAATGAAATGCAGATGGGTCTCATGATACAATAGTGAATAATTGTTATCAGGACTGATTGTAAGGGTTGGAAATGTAAAGGTAGACGTTTTATAGCAAGGAGGGGAGTGATTAACTTTTCAGTCTAGGAGCGGAGGTCCCTAGGACCATCAAGGGAGAAGAGCAGAGAGCAGGACCCTACCCAGAGAAGCAGTGATGCCTGAAATGGAGGCAGAGATGAGCAATGGAGCAGCTGGAGACTAGATACAGAGAGGGAGAGCAACTGTGCTGAAGACCTGGGAGGTGCGGGGGGAAGGATTGCAGGTTATACCCTTTGGTTTGTTGATGATGCATGGAGGGGATTGTAACCATGGCAATGAGATGATATACAATAGAATGAATGTAAAATTAATGTTCTCCCATGTAAAATACCACAATTCACAAAAAACATTTAAGAAAAAAAAAAAAATATATATATATATATATGTATATAAGTGGATGAGTTTACCTAAGGGGGACACAGAATAATGTCCAAGGATCAACCATTTGGGAATACCAAGTTTAAGGAGCAGGTAGGAGACAGATACCCATACGAAAGAAAGACAAAAGAAAAGAGTAAAAATCATGCCTGGGAAACCAAAGGAATAGACTTTTAAGAAAAAGGATACATAAAATAAGGATTTAAAAATATCCACTGGCTTTGGCATTTGATGACCCGTGAGAGCAGGTAAGAGGGTGACAGCAAAAGCCTAACTACTGGGTTGAAGATAATAAGAAAACTAGGCAATGAAGGGACAAGAGGTAACCTGGAGATACAAGTGTAATCAAGAAAAGTGTTTAGGAATGAAATAATTTGTAGATTGTGGGAGAAGTGACACTGTGAATTTAAGCACTGAGCTGCTAAATACTAACTGATCAGCTGCTCCATGGAAGAAAGATGAAACCATGTACTTACGTAAAGATTTACAGCCTGAGAAATCCCATGGAGCAGTTCTAACTGTCCTATCAGAACTGATTGGATACTGGGTTGGGTTTGATTTAAGGGGATAAATTACAGCCTTCCAAATTTTTCACTGAGGAGTGTTATACTTCTGAGTGGAAAAGTAGGCTTTAATAATGAAGAGAATCACTTTATTTTTAAAGTAGGAAACAGGAATTTGAGTACTTATTCCTTATGAGACAATTCTGAAGACTTGCATTATAACAAGGGCCAGCAAGTCTTTTCTGGTATCCTAAGCATGTAAGATGAAGTAACCGAGAATAGAAAAAGTAGAAAATGGATATGAAGATGAAGAAGGGGAAGCCAGTCTAAAATACTCCCTAAGGAGAATGGATTGCTAACTAGTAGGAAACAAAACTATAACCAAGGAACTATCCAAAGTCGGAGACTACAAATAATGCAGTTAATACAGCAAGTTATATTATGAGGTGCCATCAAGTTGGTTCTAACTCATAGCAACTTTATATACAAGAGAAATAAATATGGCCCAATCCTATGTCATCCTCACAATTGTCATGTTTGAGTACATTGTTGCTGCCACTATATCAATCCATCTCATCTGGGGTCTCCTTTTTCACCGACCCTCCACTATGTCAATCCCTTTGATTAGGGGTCACCCTCTTTCAACAACCCAATACTTTTCCAAGCAAGACCTGGGGACTCTTGGGCCCAGAGTCAGTGACGTAGCCACAGAGGACTAGAGTGGAGAGTAAAGCATCCAGCTGATAAGAAGAGAGGGCATATGCACAAGAACACCCACACTTGCAGATAATACCCACTTG